CACACATTAACCAGGTAAAATACATATTTAGGCAGAATTTTTTAAATATCTACTTTTCATTTTTCAGCAGCATCGAGCTTTTTTTCAGTTATTTTTAAAAGTCAGGTCAAGGCTCCAAAAGCCCAAAGACGATATAAGGGGGGCGGCTCACAGCAGTTTCTGTTTGCTGGATCATTGTAGTTCAGCTTTCCTTTTGTTATATTTCTTTAAGAGTTCGAAATGTGTTTATTACATAAATAAAATGTAGTTTTCTCTGTAGCACTTCATGGATTTAAGCAGCACACCTTAGTTGTTCACACAAAGCATAAAGGTAAAAAACAATATGTACAGTGTTATCTTCATTTTAGACGTCACAAAGTATTTGCGGCTCCCAGTGTTTTCTTTTGCGTGGAAACCGGCTCCAAGTGGCTCTTTGGGTCTTAAAGGTTGTGACCCCTGGTCTAGACTGAGGCTCTCTTTATTACAACAGTTTACCTCTAATGGGGGGTCTTGCCCTACCAAATTTTTAATGTACTACTGGTCTTCACATATTCATAAGCTGACCTACTGGCTAAATTCACTGAACCTGATTTGGTGTAAACTTGAAATTCAATCAGTTTCTCCATATTTTCCAGCCGCCTCTCTTATCTACTCATCACTGCCTGTTAAACATCGTCTGTTGCTTCAAATCCCGTAGTGCTCTCTACACATAAGATGTGGTTTCAGTTCAGGTCGCATTTTAAATTCATATCCCCCTCTACCAGATTACTATTGTTAAGGAATAATCTATTTTCCTGCCACTGCCGCCTGTCTGACGTGGCATGAAAGAGACATAAAAAGCGTGAGAGCCCTTTACAAAGATGATGTCTTTCTTAGTTTCTCAGAGCTGTCCTCAAAATGTAACCTACCTCCTTCTCACTTGTTTCTCTATTTGCAAATTAGACACTGTGTCTCATCACTGTTTCCAAACTTCTCCCTGCTGATGCTCTATGGGTTGACCTTCTGCTTGTGAGGCCTAATCAAAAATCACTTCTATCAAATATATATTGTATGCTTATGGTGACCCAAACTGATTCATCTGGTAAAATCAGAACCGCCTGTGAGGATGAATTAGGTGTTGAACTGTTTGAATCATGGTGGGACAAGGTGACTCTCATGCGTTCAAGTACACCATGTGCTACAGCTTGTACAGTTTAGTCCATTTCTCAAAATCCCGTTTGTCTAAAATTTTCCTTCAATTATAGATCAATGTGACCTCCCCCTGCAATCCATATGTTTTCTTCTGTCCAAGTTTGAACACATTTTGGGTTTTCAGAGGCTTTTGGATCCGATCCGAGAAGACCCTCTAATTGCCATATTTGGAGTTCCAGAGACCCTCTTAATATAACTCCCCAGCAAACTGAGATCGTGGCTTTTTGTTCCCTTCTTGCTAGACGCTGTATTTTACGCCTCCATCTGCATTGCAATGGCTTAATACTGTCCGGACATTCTTGAGGGTGGAGACGATCTCACTCACAGTGAAAGGTAGTCCTGCTAAATTTATCCACAAGTGGCATATGTGGAATATCTCAGATCTTTTCCTTAGAACAATGTGATTTACCCACCTGCAACTAGATTGAAAAGAATTTGAAATTTAGTCTTTTTTTAAGGTAGGCACAGGATTTAAGCCCCGCCCCTTCTATTCTTTTATTTGTATTTATTTATTTAAATTTTACTTTATTTTATTTATTTAAGATTTTTTCTAATTTAGATCATACAAACTTATTTCTAATAAGTTTGTATGATAAACAGATAAAATAAAACCAGTGGGTGAATGACAGCATTCTTACAATAAACAGGGACCTGACCAGAAACCAATGAAGTATTGATAATTGTCAGCACACAGGGACCGATAGACTGAAAGACATTTGTAAACAAAGATCCAGGTAAAATATCAGGAGAGCAGGAGGACGCTTTTTAATCAAATTAACTAATTTGACCAGTTTAGGTAAGGACACAGGTTAAAATAACAGGACTAGGTGGGGTTGGAGCAGACAAGAGACACAGAAGGAGATATATTGTTCCTAACATTGCTGACTTTTTCAACAAAGAAAGTTTTCACAATCTTCATTCAATGAAATTGGGACAGCAGGTGGAGCAGGAGCAACTATATCACTAACGGTGTCTAATACTACCTTGGGGTTACCTCTGCTCTTTGAAACTAGGTCTGAGTACCCATAGCTTCAGTCACAGGTGAGGCTAAGGATATCAATCGATGGCTAATTCAACAGCTTTGCTTATGTGCTCAGTTGTGAACCACCCCAAGGAAAGCTGGACCCATGAAATCCTCAGACCAGATCCCGAGGCCCCTGAAACAGACGCCCTTCCCCTTCTGGACAAACTAAAAACTTCCATCACTCGCGATTTAAGAGCAGCAGGATGAGATGGGGAACTGCAGGACGCAAATATAAAGTGTCAGTGCTGTACGTAAAGACTCATGGCCACATTAATGTGAATAAATAAAAACATCGGGCAGGGGCGTGTGGTGCAAGCCCATACATTTATAAAGCATGATGAGAGAGAAACCTGAACTGCTTCACACTGATGTGACTGAACCCGAGTACGACACTGCCTAAACTCCTGCACTAAATGTCCAGCAGGGGGCGACTGGTTGTAAGAAGTCACTAATGACGAGATGTAAACATGCTTAAAAGTCAGTACTGAGGGTTGGATTAAACGCAGAGATGCGCAGCTGGCAGTGAATGTTCATAGAAAGAACGACACCGACTTTCTTCGTTTCCTTCCTCGGGCTGTAAACATTCAAGCCTGGAAAGTGTCTAGATTTAGAGGAAATAAATATTTATTTAATGAAGGACAGATGTAAGGAGGGTGGAGGTCAGAGTCCAGCTGTCAGTGTGATGCTCCTGTCAGACAAATATAATCTGTCCTCTGGGTGTCTCCTGTTTTAACATGTTTTACTGCTAATGAGTCTGACAGAAGAGAGAGGGGGAGAGCATGCCAGGCGCTGAGAGGAAGGAAGGAGGCGAGTTAAAGAGGAGGAGGGGCAGAGTGGTGGATTCAGTCAGTCCTTCGTTCAGTCGCAGCTCAGATGGAGGTTTTTCCTCCTGCTGAGGAGACTCTGATGGCATGACAACGGCTTCCTGAGTGAGAAAGAGCGAGAGAGAAAGAGAGAGAGAGAGATATCCTGCCCTCAGTTTCCACGGTGACGGCATCCCTCCATCCTCCTCCATCATCTCTCCGCCCGGCTGCTGTCGACATCGTCGGGATGGGAGATAAAGGAACAAGGTAAGATTTAATGGGTGTGTGCAGTAATGCACCCTGATAAATGTGTGTGTGTGTCACACAGATCGATCCGTTAGGAGGTGTGTGTGTGTGTGTGTGTGTGTGTGTGTGTGTGTGTGTGTGTTGCTGTAACGTTACATAACGTTGTGTCCGAACCTCGAGGACTGTGACGTCTCGATGGCACTGACAGGTTTGCTGTGTTTGCCTGGGGCTTTTCTGTCTTTTATTTTGACAGTCAGACACACAGGAAACATGGGGGGAAACCCATCTTTGTGAAAGAAACAAGATTACCAGAGAAATATATCACTGCCAGTACTTGTAGTGATACTGTAGTAAAATCATGTAAGCGTGTGTCACTCTGATTCATTCACGCCTCATCTGGAGGGTTAAAGGCGAGCTCATGTTTTACAGCCGCTGTTACTCCGAGTGCACGACAGAGAAATGCAGTCACAGAGCTGCAAAACTAAAACAGAGAAAAACCAGGAAAACATGTAACTATGTGTCAGGAGGCCAAATCAGAAGAGGCTGTTTTTAGTTTTTATTAGTTAAAATATTTGATCCCAGACTGTGGCGATAACAGGTACACATCAGGGTGTGACCATGTTCAGACAGGCCGGCGCTCTCTGTGCATCTTTGTGACAGTCACAATGAAAATGACAAACTGCTCCTGAACTGGAAGAAACGGCCCAAACCCAAAGACTGAAATACAAAAGTCCAAACAGGACTTGAACAGCTCTCGCCTAAACCAGCACACCCACAGCCTCCTACCACACCTGTTATCGCTCCAGTATCACCACAGAAAGCAGACGTCATGTTTCTGACAGGAGAGCGTGACTGATTTACTGGGACAAGTTCTGGATCTGTGCTAGGAGGTTACAGGGGTTCTGAGCCCATGTCTCACCTCTCCACCAGCTTTAATGAAACTCTTCACCTGCTGATCAGTAACATCCAATCAACATCCGCAGCCACGTTATTGGTCGGATAATGCCATTGAAAATGCTCCAAAAGGCTCCGACAGGAACAGTCCAGAGGTCCAGTGCAGGGACTCGAGTTAGCTTAGGTGAACTCTAGCAGCCAGCTAGCAGTTGCAGCCGCCTGTGTCCCCATCCACCTGTTGGTCAGAGAGGCCACGCCCCTAATAATGCAAACTTTAATCTAGGTGCGTTATTAAAAGTGTTATGAAGCAGAACAGCTTGTGTATCAGGCTGGAAACACGTTTTCTTTGCTGGATAGTCTGTGAGCTGGACTCACTGCTGTCTCTGCTGGACGTCAGAGGAACTACAGCTTTGGGTTCAAAATCCAGGGCTTTCTTAGTCCATTACAGTCAGTGTCAGCTGACTCGCTCTTTGACTCCTTGTACACCCACCAGAGGAACTTCACAATCTCAGGTTAGGCGAAGCTTTGAAAGAGCCTCCTAACAGGAAGCTGGATCAAAACATCAGCTTATTTGTTCCACACCTGATATTTTTCAAGGAAGAATCACACATTTGCATTCCCAGTATCAGACTGAGAACTCAGGGATCCTCAGTGTCAGGACTTCGCTGGCACTTTGACCAAATTAAATATTTTGGAGCCTAGTGCAGCGGTCCCCAACCTTTTTTGCGCCACAGACCGGTTTGTGCCCGACAATACTTTCACGGACCGGCCTTTAAGGTGTCGCGGATAAATACAACAAAATAAAACTGGTACCGGTACCGAAAAAACAGAAGATTTATTCATAACACACGTGAAAAGACCCAGGAAAACCGAGTTAACGAAAAAAACGATAACAAAATAACGCTGAAAACCGCTAAAACCCCTGAAAACCATACATTTCACACCCGAGTCTCAACTCTCATGGCCCGGTACCAAACGACTCACGGACCGGTACCGGTCCGAGGCCCGGGGGTTGGGGACCGCTGGCCTAGAGGCAATTTGACCAGCTGGTGGTCCGATCCATAATCCTCCACCTTCAACAGTGTGCTGAAAGCCTGTGGTGATGGAGGAATCACACGAGGGCAAAGGCTCAACAACTAGGCTCTCACTGATGAGCCCCTTTCCTAGATGGGGCAATGAGACTGGGTCCCACCAATGAGGCCGTAACACGGGGAAGGGGTCCCCAACGAGGCAGCTTATGCACACTAATGGTGTAGCTTCATGGAAGGACCACCATGTGGGCGTGTGCTTGTCAAGACTTTTTCCGTGTCTACGAATCTGCTAGTGATGTAAATTTCTTCATGAGATGGTGAGCTGATGATTGGTGTGGACGTCTTCACGCCTGCCTGACCAATCTGCAGAGACCAACTGTGCGTACGCCCCCGGCGATGCACTTTAGAGAACTACAACAGGACTACTGAGTCATCGTCTCTCCAATGCTTACAAGAGACAAACAATGACAAAGTGTGCAGCTTAAAGTATTTTAGGACATCCTTCAGGTGTGTGATCAGGTCGAGATGCAGCAATATTTGTGTCAGACCCACAGACATCCAGGAAAAGGGTGAAAAAACGTCCCTGGAGTTTTCAGTTTGGCAATATTTTGATCAGTCGACTCAAACCTGTGATGAGTCCCACAGATATGAAGCCCAAACAACTAAATTAAAACGGACTTTTGTGGCACAACAACAGAAGCATTCTGAAAGTTTACTCCAGCTTCCAGATTTGCTGCTGTTGCCACTGCTGCCTGCTGTTTTGTGTGCAATGCATTCTGGGATACTTGGCTGTCCCAGATCAACAGCCTTGATGCACTGAGGCTGTTTCATGAGTACGAGCACCAATGCAGGCGGTGACGTCAGTGTCAGCTGGTCAGGAGCTTTAGTGTTGCACTCAGGAGACGTGTTTGTTATTTTGTTCTGTGTAGGTTTTACACAGTCTAGCTTCTCCAAACATAGACAGCTGATGAAGGAGCACTTTGATCAGCGAGCGAGGCCTGTTCCCTCGTTATTCCACGAGAATTTAAGCAGGTTAAGTGTTGAACTTGTTTGCGTTTAAATACTAAAGCTGAAGGCAGAGACCCACAAACAGGAAGCAGCTGAACGAGTGCAGCATGTGGCGGCGTCCTGCTGTTGACTGCTAAACACTTTCACCCAATAAAAGTATCATAAAAGTTAGAAATGTTGTTAGTCTGTGCGCCTGAAATGGGGCTGTGTTTAAAATCCACTGTGGTGCACAGACTGGCTCCTGTACCCGTTTGGACTGAATGTAAATGTGAAGAACTTCACGCTTGCAGGAACCAACAGAACCTCCCTGAGTTTCCACGGACCGGTGCAAACATTCAGCGGCTTTAGTTCTTGTTGCAGAAAGCAGATGAGTCTTTGTGGTTAAATAGTGAAAAAAGGACCTCATGCGTCTTCTCAAATTACATTTCCTTGACCTCAGTGGAAGGGAAGTAAAGATGTGAAGGATTGTTTACAAGGACTTGAAGAGCAGGACTGCGGCACTCGGAGAATCAGCTGTCCTTAAACAGACTGTTAATAATAATAATGAGGCTCTGCTGCGGTGAAACTACAAAGTCCTGCGGGTGGACTACAAAAAGCTCCTCTCAGATACCTGCTGTGCTCTCATTGGTTGCTGTGTGCAGACGGTGCGCACATGCACAAGTAACACGGTGAGAGCTCACCTGTGGTCGATCAAAGATGGCCGTCATTTGGTGGGTAACTCAGCAGTAAGTCACATGATGACCTGTTTGTTTACTGTAAGGTCTGATGGGTCGTTGCTGTGAATTGTGGGACGGCATCATCTCCTTTCGTTTCATAAAGGAAGCTCTGATGCATCCTTTACTAAAGGAGGTAATAAAGGAAGCTTCAGCTGCTTGCAAACTGCTCAGAGTCTGAGGTTAAAGCTGTGGCGACCCTCGTAGCATCGACAGCAGTGTTATCATCTCACCAACGTTTTGTTATTTGGAGGATCCGCCGACTCCTATCATGGCCGCCACACACACCTCCGGGTCAGAAGGAAAAAGGTCCACTGAGAACTGGAATCAGAAAGTCGGCCCAAAGCCTCCGTTTCCTTTGTTTTTAGGTGAGCAGCAGGAAGAAAGCTTCCAGCTGAGTGCGCTCCACCCCTCAGACCTCAGCAGTGTCGCAGAAACACTTCAGATGAAACAGACGAACCGAGCACGCTGCAGGTGCAGTGATTTCCCCACTGCCCCACACTGCTTCTGCAAAACTGGTGCTAATGTAGCACAGACTGCTCATTCTGCCCCCTACTGGCAGGTGAATCAAACACTTATACACAAGCACAGCGCTGGGAAAACACCCTGCAGCGCGCCACATTCCTCCCAGCAAAGCTGTCAAGTTAAAGTTGGGTGCTGGCTATAAAACCCCGCAGGATGAAATATAACAGCGTTTGATGAAAACGTCACTCGTTTAATGGCAATGACGAGCAGATGCACCTGAAAGCGCTGTGCAGGTTAATCTCTGCTGCACGTCACCATCACGGTGTGACATAACCACAGTGTAGCTTTCATACAGGCTTTCATAACAGACTGAAAACAACCTGTTGCCCCATCCACTCTAAAACATTAGCTCATAGCCAGAATGTCTTCAGAACTTCAAACCAGGTGAGTAGCACCGTAATACACCTGAGCCTGTTAGCAACCGTGATGCTGTTGAAACCAGGCAAGTACCAACAGCAGGTTTCTCCTCAGACCGAGGGTGGAGGTGGGGAGTCCTGGATGAGGTTCTGTAGCTCATCTTACAGCCGGTGGGGTATGACATCATCATTCAGGTTCTGATTTTGGTTCTGGGACTTTTTGCCCCCTCATGATCGAGGCCAGCGTCCCACCGGGAGTCCTGGTCTTTTATCCATCAGCTGTGTAAGGGATGACTGCCTCAGGTCTCCTTGTGGACTTACCGGCTAAGCTTAGCTTTGGGGTCTTGTTGGAACTGTTAGGGTCTTGTGACGTGATGACACATTTCTTTAGCTGGTCTGAGACGGCAGCACTCTTTCGTTTTAGTTAAATATGTCTTATTTGTAGTTTTTCGTGGATGTGGACAGCGTGCATCCTGTAACTCATCAGTGCTGCT